TTATTTCGAAAATTGCGCCCCCTAAAAATAACATATATAGCTTCAAAATAACGCCCATGCGCGTCCCGAAATAACGCGCATCTTATAGTAAGAGTGCTTATTTACAACAAATGCTCTGGAACTAGATTCACTTTAATATCAACCTAATATCAACCTAGCTCCGGAACATTTTTTGTTTTAGACAAGATGCTTAAAATTTTTACATTTGTCTCAAAATAACGCCTATGCGCGTACTCAAAATAACGCGCATATATACTCAAAATAACGCGCAGATGGGCGTTATTCCACAAAAATACAGTAAACTAATATACTGTATTATTGAAATTTTTATAGTTTTAATATTTAATTCTACTTTTTAAACTTTGAAAATTAATTCAAAAGTTGCATTAGGGTAGGGTTTAAAGTTAGGGTAAGACATAACCTATACTAACATTTTGCAAGAAAATTTTTTTATTAGTACCCCAAAGGTAATTTCATATATAAAATTTTGAGCATTGTAAGTATCCGTGTTTGATATACTAATGTACAAATATTAATTGCCTTAAACTTTAAACAAATTGTGTAATTATAAATCAAAGAGCAACTTATTAATATCAATATATTAATATACTATACTGTATAATTAATAATTCATAAAAATAATCTTATACTTGCAAGTTAAAACCTGAATTTTACAATTGCGTACTGTACGTATGTTGTTTATACTGTAGCAATTGTTACATGAAATTTTACGTAATTATAATATGTTCTTTTTTTAAAAAAAAATTTTTTTCAAAGATTTTATACATATGTACGTATGTACCGATGTACCGTACGTAAGAATGTTTAAAAATGATTATTAAAATTTTGTAATATAGGTTTGACCAAACCTTTTATATATATATCAAAAAAAAAAAAAAAAAAAAGCTCAATATGCTTAAACTTATCTTGTAGCCTGTTTTTTAAATAAAATACTATATATTCTTAATATAGTTAGAATAATCACATGATTTAAGATAATGATCCAATTTTTTTGTTCAACATATATATGCTGTTATTTCAAATTATCAACAAAATGGATCAAACGGGGATTTCCCCACTCGGATTTCCCACTCAAATTACTGAATTATGCATGCCGATATTTTTGTGTTAATGATCCCCAATCTTCCAAACAAATATAGCATAGACTCATCCTCTATACTAATATCATATTGATTACTAAATCGGTATCGGTCTTTACCCTCCGAAAATTTTATAAAAATATAAATTCTTATTAATCAATAATTATCTGTAATTTCAAATTAATTATGAGTAACCTCATTCCTCTGGAGTGTCTTCAGCTTATACTCGATAACTTAAAAGATGACCGTATATCTTTACATTCTTGTCTTTTGGTGAATCGAAATTGGTGCAGGATTACTATCTATATATTATGGAAACAACCCTTTCATCTAGTATATAACACAAGTTCTGCTGCAAACAGATGCCTTTCTGTAAAATGTCACTCTCAAGCAACTAGCTTACTTGATGCTTATATTTCTTGTCTTATACAACTCAACAAGGTCACTTTAGTCGAAAAAGGCATTGTGTCTCTGTCAATTAGACCTCCAATGTTCAACTATGTCCAATTTTTAAAATGTCTTGATCTTTACGAATTATATATGGCTATCTATGATTATAAAGATTATAAATTAAATGGAAAAAAGTCTCGTTTTCCTCTATCTCCAAAATTTAATAGCGTTCCAAGAAAACGACTTCCCCTAAAACTGGATGGTACTCATTTAGTAACCTCGGATGATTGTAGATTAGTTTTAAATTTTTTTTTTCGTGAAAATTTGGGTTCTTTAAATCATAATGATGAATATCGTTGGATGGGTATGTTCTTGTGTAAATTTTTCCTGGAACAATCAAGTTCAATTGATTTAATTTCAATCGATGCTAGATCTGGAAGTAGTATTTTATCTTTATCAAATCAAAACTTTCATTTAAATAGAAAATATATAAACGTGGATGATTGTTTGATAATTCCTCCTTGTTTGAATTCAAATAATTGTTTACCAAAACTTACTAAATTAGTTTGCACTACTAGATATCGAAAGGCTAATTTTTTATCAAGTATCGCAAAGATTTGCCATTGCATAAAAACTTTAATAGTAAGAGTTGATTGTGATATGACATATTCTTTATCATTT